GCTACAGAAGAATGTTTATATCACATTTTCAGCCTATGCTATGTGAAAAATTTGTGAGTAGATGGAACCTGTTAACACGATTTCTTCTTTACCTTGTCTAGATTTTATTCCTCCATATATCCATAAAGTATTTGTTAAATAAAACTCACACACAGTTTCACAACACAGAAGTTTAAAAGACAGAAGTGTTTATAACCAAAAGTTTTTCCTAATTTGTTTCGTCCCTCTAAACAACAGACAATGTATAGTGTGCACTGCTGACCCAGACCTGACCCCATTGTATTGCGGGAGCACTAACGACAAGAGAGACCTGGCAGAGGACAGCAAGTTGGGTTTGAGCGTGCAGTGTGATATGGCAGGCAAAAAGGACCACAGTGGCTGAAATGCAGAATCACAGACCGAGGTGGCAACAGTTCCTCTTACTTCAACGCTCTTGAGTATGGACCTTACGTTCTCCCTGTTGCCATACCAGCAAGAGGTCGGCAACTTGGATGAGACTTAGAGATGCGCATCAAAAATAACAATAGGGCTAGAACAGCTGGCTGGGGAGGCCACGTAAAAGGATGAAATATGTATTACATCCACCAAATGATTAGGAGGGGTAAAAATGCTTAACAGCTGCAAGTGCTGAAAGGAAGAGGATCGCTTTAGGCCAATCTGATGAGATGTAAACTAGGGTACTAAGATGACATTAAGTAAACGAAAATGTAACCCCCACTGCTAAGACAATATTCCTGTTACTGAGAACTGCAAACTGAGGATTAATGACCCCACCGGTACAGCACTAGCTTTGCTGCTCAGGTCACCTAACACTAGGCTGGGAAAAATCTCAATCTGTGGTAGGAAACATTCGTGCATCAGCGGGGAGATGCTCAATGACCTTGTAAGTATTTCCATCTCTAATTTCTCAGATTCTTTGCAAATATTATTCCTTTAATATAATGACACCCACTGAGAGGACAGTTTGCACTTATATTTCTCTCCATGCTATTGAGTATCTCTCTCTCTCTCTGGGAATGAAGCTACAATTATATTGAGGTTAGTGGAGTTTTCCCTCATTCTATTTAAAAGATAGATATTGCAGCATTAGTTACAGGACATTTAAAAAAAAAATATATATATTCTTGACAATCCTGCCACTTATAGTTATGTCAGGCAAAAATAGTGTCTCAGGAAGCACACATGCTGGTTCCTCCCCGGAGAGGATTCTGCTCCTCAGACTGAAAGCTGAAGACCCCACCAAGTGCACCCCATTGAACCTCCACTCACTAGTTCCCGTGCAATGACCACCAACCTCTGAGGAGGACTGGAAGTGACTCCTTTTAGAGCCCCTCAATGCTTCTCCTTAAATTGGCCAGTGGGGGTCACTGCTGTTGAATGACACAAGGCTCCATCCCTCCCAGGGTTGAGGCTGCAGCTCTGGAGTGCTCCTAGCTCCTGCTCATGGAGTGAGAAGCAGAATCCAAGAATTAAACCCTAGTCTCTTGCACGGCAGCACACACTGCTATGGCCTAGTTATGGTAGCACATAATTTGACTAGATTAGTTTAAAAAAGATTTAGACTGTAGTCACTCAATCTTATTAATTTACTCTGTGATTAGAAACAACATTTTTGGTCAAGGAATGTCTCATGATAGTAAAATATGGTTGCAGTGAAGCACTGTAAATAAAGCAGTGGATGTTTTACATTATGTGATAGAAATGTATTATTTAATAATATAACCACAAAAGCAGCTTTCATGTATATCATACCTTTCATCCTGAAATAACCCTAATTTTCATCGAAACTTAAATTGATGCATATAAACTATACACAGAGATCACTTCATACACAACTCAAATGCAAGCACTTCTATTTAACAGACCGGTTATTTCTGAGGCTTCATCTTTTTTACACCTAGCCTCAAAGCTTCGCTCTGCTATGCCCAGTTACATAACTAAACTTTTAAACTTGGGATTTTAAAGATCATCCTATGGCTAAACAATGTCTTACTGGAGTCTGGAGGTAGAAATGTGTGGTGGGCCATGTAAAAGTCCCCATCCCTATGCCTACCATGTTTGCTGCTGTTAATACATAGCCCCAACCAATGTGTTAACAGTAATTAGTTTGTAACTCAGGTGTCACAGTCCCCAGAAGTAGACAAACAGTGCTTCACAAGCCTAAGGTAATTAAAACCACCTGAAACTATCAAGTATATTGTTTAAGCAAGTCTCATATTCCAAGGATTGAAAGTTGCACTAATTTTAGCAGCCAGCAGACCTCTAAGTGCTAAGTCTTCAAAAGAAGAAGGGTACCTCCTCCTGCCTCCCTTCTCTCCCTATGGAATTGTGTTAATGGTGAATATTTTAATAATTGACTTCTCAGCTTCTTGCCATGAAAATTATTAATGACTGAGAGCCCCATTGCTGCCCACACCATAATGGTCACTATTTCCAAGACAAAAACATTGGACAGACGTTGTTGAAATAATCTATAGAGACAGAACTGACATTTTAATTAGGTTTCAGAGTAAACACTTTCTAGAGTAAAACAGTTATCTTTCATATCTCATCATAGTCCTCTCTGTTAACTTGAAATTCTGGTCTTGTTTGGAATATTTTTCCTAAAGTGCAACAACTGGAAACCAATTTGTTCACTCTCATCTCCTTACAGCTAAATCTTAGATTCTGAATTGCACAGTTCTGAGACGCAGGACAATTTCTGACACTAATCTTCTGGCCCTGGAACTGTAGCTCTGGTACTACAACATCCATTACAAACCATCTAAACCTAACCCCTGTTTCTGAAACACGTAAGAGATTGTATTGCTCCCTTCCACATTTAGCAGGTTTATTTATGGATTTGGCTTTTAAGGAGCTTACAGAGAACTACAAAGAGAAAGAGAGATTATTGAGGCACGTAACTCACTTAAAGAGTGCAAGGAGGCTCTAATTAAGACTTTGGATGTAACATAGAACATTTGATTTTCTTATTGGCACGTAGTGATGCTTTATTCTTTCTAACACAAATGATATTTCACTGGGTTCATGGTTACAGTATTACACTCAACAGGGTCTTCATTAGTAAATGAAAGCAAAATCCACCTATTAATTTCTACGGTTAAGACTGGGAGCAGCCTAGAGCAATGGCTCTTAGGGTTTGTCAGAGTTGTGAATTGTGACCAAATTTCCAAATTCGAATAGACAGAAACAGATCAATGTGCACTGTTCTTATTGAACTTAACAGGAAGTGATATTTAAATTATAGTGTCCACATGGACCCTTCTTGCATATACCTGTAACCCACAGATCACAGTGTACAAGTCACTGTTCTGTGTACAAGGGCCTGGGCTTGCTAAAACGCTTTATTTAAAACAGAAGAATATGGAAAATGCTAAGGTATATGCTTTCAGCCAGTAAAGAGGCTTGAAAACTGAGCAAAGAATTGGGAAAACACTGCAGCTAGCTTCAAATATTAGAGGAAATTAGTACTGTGCAAGTGATAAGGCAATGACACACTCAAATTAGATAACTAATTTCTTTGAAATTAGGAAGGCTAACATTAGAAAGGCAGGTTTTCTATGAAACTTGTGGAAGGAGTCTTGCCCATCTTTGCTCTTTGTTTAGAGGAAAGAGGAAATTGGTAATTCCAGTTTCTGCACAATGGGTTAATGTTTCTTCCAAAGATCAGATGTGATCGAGAACATGAACAAATCTAAGAACAGTTCAAATGACTGGCATCTGCTGAGACTAAGACAGCCGAGTGGACTACAATTTCTGGATCTCTGTTTTGTCAGCTTTCTTCATGCACTAAAAAATGCCAATGCATTTGTAGAAAGCACTGGCAGTATTGAGCCTGCACTAATGACAGCCTGAGAAAAGAAAACTTCTGGTGAGAAAAGTGTTTTTGTATTTGTGCTATTGGAGTGACTTTAGTGACACTTGGTTCTACTTCCAACCCACTACAGTGTGTTGCCTCAGCACCTACAGGATTCAGGTCAAAAGCAACATTGGACAAGTAACAGGTCAACCTAGGCATGAGTCGTGCAGTGCAATCATGTAGCACACTGGCTAACTACATTTGTTTTAAGAATGTGGGAAATACTTAGGAAATTTGTAATATGTAGAAAAGGTGTTAAACAAGGGATTTGGGCAGGAAGAGTCATATGGACAAGAGATGCTGAATGTCTGCAATCGGTAGCATGAGAACTAACAGAATCAGAGAAACTACCAGTTTTCCCACCATTATAAGGGAAAATGAGTGTAATGGAGTGCAAGTGACTGTCAAAAGGGCAAACCTTTGTATTTTGTTTAACAGGGTTGATAAAGTATAAAAAATAGTTAAGATATATGAGGACAGACTCAGACTGATCATTTTCAAATTGCTGATGAAAGGGAAGATGCGTACCCACCCACTGGCAGAGACACTTAGATGCTTTTGAGGACTGTGTTATTAAAGATGTATCAGAATGTGTCAGCACAGTCAAAGTGCTAATAAATTTAAGGCAACACAGAGGGCACAAATGATACTGATTGATAAGGCTTCAGCAACTGAACTTCAGGGTGCAGTGCCAACGTGACCCATGCATGGAATTAACAACCACATCATTTCACTTTCTGGGCTTGGCTCTGCATTGTCAGCACTGTCTCTGCCTGAAGAACTGATCAGAAAATAGCACGGGTAGAGGAAATGGCACAGCCTGCTATTACTGGAGAAGAATGTGTGTGTGACAAGTACTGTTCCATCTCATTGATCAAGGTTTGCTTAGCCCCATGTATTTATCTGAAGATCTGGAAGGGGCTATGGGGAAAATGACAAATCTGTCTCAAGTTTCAAGCTTTGTCATAGCTGATGGCACTCCAGCTGCTTTCTGGTCACTGTCCTGAGTGTGAGACATTTGCCTCTCCAGACATGAAGACCTCATTACAGAAACAGAAGTTAATGGTGCAAGTGAGAAATGTGGATGAGGTATATAGTAAGTTCACACATTTGCCAGAGTGTACAGAGCATTACTGTAGGAGCAAAAAGGAATAATTACTAATGGCCTAAATGAAGAAACTTTGCATAGAATAGAGGCTAAGGAAACATTTTCTAACCAGGATTGATTTACTATCAAAGAGAAAACAACATAGAAGCAGAAAAGTGAGAGGAAATTAGGAGTTAGGTTCAATTATGGTGGAGAGAATGTCTTTGCTGGCTGGGAAGAAATCACTGGAGAAAAAGAGAAAGCTGAAGTACATGACTTCATATTAATCCAAGTTTGGTATGGATATGAGCTCATTGTTGAGGTTCTTTAGAGAGGAGGATGGGAAAAATGGAACTGAAACTAGCTCTGGTTATTGTGAGTCATCTGGACAGAAGATGCAGTATTCTCTAATAATGAGGGGGAAAATGCTTTTAACAGTGAAAATGAATGATTTCAGTAGCTTTTTTCTACTGAGCAGGGAAGTCCCATTCACAGAAAGCTCTGTGGCCAAATGAAGCTTTTAGTTAGTTGAAAACTGTCAAATCATGTTTGAGGACATCTTTTCTTCTATTGAATATAAGGGAAATCAAACATTAACTACTGGATGATTTGCTTTAAGGTAAAGAGAAAGAAACAGAAAGCAAGTTACTGCTACCTGGAGCTAACTTCAGAAAGCAGTGGCATGCCTGTAATAAGGCCCTCTTGAAAGAATGCATAATTTTGAAGAAACATGGTAACAACTCTATTTAGCTGAGAAGTGTTGAATAGTTTTACACCAAAATATCCTGCTTCTAAAATTATTTTGAGTTCTGTCTACTCTACAGGGAGGCTCAACCATCAATTCCAACTGGTTTGCTATCTTTGCTGTGAGGAAGATGGGAAGAGCTGTTAGTATGTCAAATCAAACACCATTTTCCACTTTGCAGAGGGAAAGAAGCGTCCTAAAAATGGAATCTGATCCTCCATACAAAAAAGTTCGGACCATCTTGCTACTCTGGTACAGAAAGCAAACAATGTTGAAAAATATTGACTATGCAGCATCCTGAAAGTCAATAAAGACTAAAAATCCATCCTTCGTACCATGATAAACTTCACCATTATGTCTCAGATGCTCAACTATCACCTCCATCAGGAAGAGTGGCCTTGACTACTTCATCTGTCAGGAGTAGCCTTTCAGTACCTGAAGTCAGCTTGAACATCAGTGGGAGTGACAGGTAACTGTCAGAGGGCTCAATTACACTCAGACATACAAGTACACATGGCTACCACTGAAGCCAACAAAAGTTGTCCCTCCAGAGAGGAGCAGACTGAAGAGAGACAAGGGGTCAGATTCCGGTCCAACTGAACTGAACTCAGGGCAGGGAGTAGCAAAGACAAAGTGATTTTACTGTCTATTAAACTAGGAGACGGCAGTGAACTAGCTGGTTGCTCAGTTTTGCACCTAATTGCTGATTTTTCTTAAGTATGGTTGATTATTGATCCAAGGGGTTTTCTGACACAGTCAGTGAGGCAGAGTGGTCCCTGCCACCAGAGGATCAGGTAGCTGGCCTTCTGACTGCTTTGTGCTGCCAGAAAAAACCCAGAGATGCCTATATTAGGGAAAAATGACTCCAGGGACGCGAGCCACGTGAAAATTTTAATATGACAAGGAGAAAATATGAGTTTAATGTACTGAAGTCCAAAGCTTCTGTAAGCTAGAGGATTGCTGAACCAGTTGCTAAACAAAAATCTTCATTTCATTTCACCAGTGTTAGTCTACTCCTCTTTTTTATCTGGGTATTCAAGCTTCCTAGGAAGTGCCTGCTTTGTGCTAACAAAAGGCCTGTATTCTTTGTCAGGCTTCAGAGGAGACCTAGCCCTTTCCTATATGCTGATCAGACATCCAATAAAAATCCCTGCATGTTATTCCCAAGATTCCACTTTATAGTCCTTACAGTATCAAATTAATTTCCCTAGCTTTAAAATGCATAAGCTGTCTCCTTATTGATTAAGGCACACTTTGTCACAATTTGGGGTCTGATTACCTGTACCTTGAGACTAAGGTGATAATGTGACATTATTGAAGTGCTAGTACATTTCTGGAGATGACTTGGTGTTTACCTTTATAATCAGGATGTCAACAGAGCTATCAGGGTGGATAAGCTGAGACCCGTATTCCAGGGGAACTACCCTTTGCAAGTGGAGTGGTTGGGAAAAGAGATATCCTCTGCAGGTAAGTTAATTCATAACCTGTTCCACTGAAGCGTCTGAACCCAGTGCCAGAAGTAAGGTACGACCGTAGAGAGACCAGCGGTCTGCTCAGGTATGGCTGAGGGACTCATCCTCACTTAGCACCTGGCAGATGGACGTCTGCAAGACTCATGCTATACCTAAAATCACAAGGCCCAATCTGAGTCCTACCACCAGTGGAGGGACTCCCACTGACAAGAAGGGGAGCTGGCCCAGGCCTTAAAAAATCACATCTGGACCTCAGGATACCCTGCTTGAGGGTCATTCATTAAAGCTGCACTGCAGAATGGCTTCTTCACATCTCTCCACTAATTCCCCAGCTTCCACAGCACACTGTGCAAGATTGCCTTTTGCTTGTGATAGTTTAGGCTCAAGAATGCACCTTCTTTACAATGTAAGGAAAGAATTAAAGCACCATAAGCAGTTCAGGCCTAAAATGAAAGTGAGACTTACAGGTACCTGACTTGATAGACTCAGGTTTGCAGCAGCTGACTTTTTCTTGCTGTTGGTACTATTTGCGTTGTTCCCAGCACTGCTGTTGGAAGTGCTGCTGGTAGAGTTTTTCCTTTTTCTCCGTTTGGTTGTCGGTTGTCTTGTGGGTTCTGCTGCAATAAAATGGTAAGAAGGAAGGCAAATGGCAGATATTGTAAAGCGTGTACTAAAATGATCCATAAACAGAAGCGCTGAAATATTTTTCTGATCTAGTTTTAAATTTCTATGTTTACTCATAGTAGTAGGTTTAACATATGAATCGTAGAATTTTATTTGGACCTAAACCAATGGAATATGCTTTCAATTTTGTATAATGGACTAATGAAGCTTATTCTCCTAGTATTATCTACAAAGATATTTGAAAGCATTTTACCAATGGGAGTATCATAACTATCATGATGCTCAAAGTGATGCTGAAGGTCACACAGCAAGCAACAGTGCTAAACAAAAATCCAGGACTTATTCTGATGTAGAGTACAGCCTCATGTGACCCAGCCAGAGGCAAAGGCTAAAGGTAGCTTTCTAACCTACTGCTGCCATCGATGCAGCATACAAGCAACTACCATTTGAGTTCTTCCTGCCTCTGATGTGGGCTTCATCTTTAAAACTGCTGCTCCCAAGAGAACACATTAGAGTGTGTGAATGCCATTTCTCTGTGAGTCTTCCAAACTCAGACTGAATCAGGACAATTACAAAACTTTGCTTAAATCAGCAAAGAACAGAGGGGCAATTGTACTTCTTAAAATTTGGCCTGGGCACCCATGTGAATAGTTGTAGATGTAAAAATCTTTAATAATCTGAAAAAAGAGAGCATTATTATTTTGAGGTGTAAGAGGAAGGAGATTAGGTTCAGGCCTTTAAATAACATTATATTAGTCTCAAAGACAATTAATTATGAATTGTAGTTGTAATTTCAGAGTCACAGCAGGAAGCTGAATTACACAAACGATGAATTCTAATGGAGCCAGTAGGCATTTTGCATTCCATCTACACATACTTTTGTACTAAATTATATCCTAGTCATAGTGAAACCATCTGAATGTGCACATCTATAAATCAGTTCGGTCAGACTGAAATCATAAAACATCAGAATAATTTTCAGGCTTACTTTTGGAACAGTGCTAATTCTTATTACTTTCCTTTGTAAGTAAATTTGCAGTAAATATTCCTATTGTTTCTATACTAATTTAACCATAAAATAAGTAAAGCACTGGAAATGAAACATACCTGGTGGGGCCACCATTCTCTGCCATTTTTGAAACAAGCAAGTCTTCAAGCAGTCTCGAGGACTTAGATTATAAGTTTTGTGTCTTGACATCAGTTCCTGCATTGGCTCCAGTATTACACACAACTGGAAGAAAAAGGCATAATAGAACAATCTCAGCCAAGCAAAGACTCGGTTGATCAGTATTTACATAGCTGGAAAGTATATTCTTGGCTTTTTTTACCCTTGCTAACAGAGGATGCCTTGTACAGCTCAATTTAATCTGCACTGGGATTGAGGATCAAAATTGAATTGAGAAAACTTCTGCTTGCTATTTGCTATCTAAAGTATTTTTTAAAAAAATCAGATAAATCTTCAACTCTAGTCTTCCAGACTACAGAGTTTTCAGAAGAGTAGAAAATTTTCATTCTTGTTTGCCAAAGCTGCAAAGACGAATTAATAAATAATAAAATGCTCATAGTGGGTTATCATTCCCATATAGCAAAATGTACACAGTGATCTTCTGACCTGTGGCACTCCACAATGAAGATTTCTCATAAATGAGGGTTGTAAACATGGTATTTTATCTTGCTATTGCATGCAAAATAATTAAAATAATTTTGTTCCTTTCTTGTTGTAAGTACTATACATTCTATCCCCATCACATGAATATGTCCAAGACAAAAGAGAAGCATTTTATTTTCCTCATCAGCGTGAATGCTCTAATATGCTGAAGCTGGAGATTTCTAAAAACATGGAATTTCAAGAAAACCTATCCCTTAAATAATCATATAAGTTTTCTATCTGTTCACTTAGTAATTAAAATCACTGTTCACCACTTTTTGCTCCTGTTAGCACAGCAGATCTAGCATAAAGAACACAGTGAGCTGTTTTCTATTCCCTCCTGTTAATCACCACAGAATCATTTCCAGTCAGTTAAACCTTACGCAAAGCCACAGAAGACTACAGAATTGCACATGTGTAACTGAGGGCTTACTCTTGCTTGCAGGATCCTTGTTTTTTGGTCATCCTACATGAGAAGAAAAAATCCAGGTTGACCCCTAGGTTTCACCTGAAATTTGCAGGGCTGGCACATAGGAGGAAAAGGTTCCTTACTTGCTAACTGAGCACATTTGATAAGGAAATAGCTGACACAGAATACACATGGAGCCTGCATGCCACTTTTAGTCACTCTTCAAAGAAGAACCGCGTTTAGAAGCAGGGGAAGGTTTGGCTTTTTTCAGCAACAGAAGTAAGGCAACAAGTTGGCCAAATTATTAGAACTTAGGATGGCAAATGCAGAAAGGCATCACTTAAGCCAAGTCTTGTTTTGAGTTATTTACTTAATTTTAGCAAGTCTGGCTGAAGGAGCATCTTGGATTTACTTCAGCAGGTGATGTTTTCCTTCCATGGTTTTACAAATATATGTCATGAGGCAAATTCTTCTCTCTGGGCTGCAAAGCCGATCAATGTTTGCTCTGTTCCCCTCATGTGCACCCCACTCTCATTCATATAAATGGAGATGCAAAGTATGCAGGGAAAATAGCTGAAAGGGAGCTACCATGAGGACTAAGAGATTAATTCAGCATTTAAATATTATTGTGTATTGGCACTGCCTTTTGATGAGCCTTTCATTAACAGCAGTTAAGACAGAGATAACGTAAAGCAGCAGGGAGAACGAAGAGCTTCAGTATGAGGAATTATTTTTTTCCAACTGCAGAAATTAAATCTGCAGTTGCCTCCCTGACTGTTTTCTTACATAGACTTTTTACATATATTTTTGTAGACAAATATCTACAAGGTAGTTTAACAGACAGATAACTGCTATTGGAATGTGCAGTTTGGGCTCAGATTTTCTTCTGATTCAATAGTCTACCAAAAATCAAGAGCATCACGTCTGAAAGTATGTCCAGGATCCAGTTTATGCTGTGCAAGAGGTGCTGTACTTTGAGTTCTTATTCAGTTTATTCTGAAACTTGCTCAGGTTTTGTGTGCGTGTGTCTGAGAGAGAGATTCATGATCATAACTGACTGTTGCTTTGGTTCTCAAAAGTCTGGGTTTCTGGCAGAGCTGCCTAAATTGTCTCATTATTAGCAGATAGCAACTAGCACGAAAGAGATAGCTGTGCTAAATCTTCATAAGCTAGTTACCCTGGGCAGGGCCCTACACTCACATAGCTCTACTGCTGCTGGGACTAAAAGTATGTAAATATACATGTAGGGTCTTCCAAGGTTTCCTTAGGGACACTTTATTTATGATACATTTACTCCTCTGTATGTATTTATTGTTGGCAACAAAGAGAATGTTTCTTCTTTATCATCTGGCAAAGATGTTGCCTATTGTGCACTAACCATATGCGCACTGAGGAGAACTATGAGGTCCCTGCTGCCTTGACTGCTAATCCTGTCTATAATCTCTTTCACTTCACACACAAGATTAAAATGGGATATGGACCCAAAATGTAGCAATGCCTGACTGATCTCACACACATGGACTCAAAATGACAAGCGCCAGGGCTCCTACACTGGGACATGGGGCGGTTTCATCTTCTGGATATTTTGGAGCTGTACAGACTTGCATGAATTCCTCTTCTGGTTTTGGGGAATTCACAACCATTTTCTCCCTTTAAAGTCTGCAAATTGTAAGGTCAGCTTTGGATGCCTGAGTAATAGGCGTGCACTCTGTGGTGACAAGTCCATTTTAAATGCATCTAGCTTATGTGAATTGGGCAACAAATGTAGAATGAACAGGATTAACAATGACTGATATTAAATCTCAGTCTTTTTCAGTGATCTTTGAGACCTACTTGAAATCTAAGGCAACTCAAAACCAAATCCCTGAAAGGGGAAAAGATCATGGTCCAATTATCTTAAGTCTGAGGAACCTGCCAGTGGCAATCAGTAGCTTGGTTTTTGCAGAGTTAGATTAAAAATGTGGGGAAAAGATGCATTTAAGAGCTAGGCTGACCAAAACCACCTGCTGTCCTTAACTGCTGGTAAGCAAGGTAACTGGCAGGCTGGTTTGACTGCATCATTTTACAAAGTGACTTCTTAAAACAAAGCTAACAAAATGTTTTACATGCTCCTACATTCAATGGCATATAGAGGCAGCCTGAGGCTTAGACTGCCTATTTCCCACAGATCACCTAATCTCACTCTGACATTCCTTTTCAAAACGTCTATTTTAACATTTTTTCGAGCATTGGATAGTATTAAAATGTACAAGTCTTTCCTGTAGTACTATAACAATAATATTTGGAACACCAACAAAATCAATCTCTTTTGCAAGGATTTTTGGCACAGCTCAGAATCAGTCACCCAGGAAAACACCCTAAAGACTTAAGTGCTATGATGATGTATGATCACAGAAATAATTTCTAGATTTCTAGGGACCCAGAACCTTTAATGGCAATGCTTGACAAGACACAGTTAGACATTTCCAAGCTCCACGTTCAGGCGACACAAAAGGTGGGACTCACTTGCCCGCACACAGGTGTCTAATGCCACCTGAAATGCCCTGGGTTATCCTGGATCTGATCCATCTGATTGCTTTTGCTGTCCCAGAAGGTCACAAGGCTCGTGTCGATGTTTCAGGCACTAGAAGATGTTGTTAGTGTGTGAGCAATTGAATTAAGCCCAAAATTAATGAAAAATTATGCTTCTTTTAGCTTTTAAAACATATTTGGAAGGATATGTATCATAATAGATTATACACTTTCCCTCCACAGTACTAAAACATACTGAAAGAACTCCACGTGATGCTTAGTAATCCAGTATTATTAGAATTAGTTTCCAGTCATGTTTTCTTATTTGAACTCATCACAATGATGTCTGACCATTATGCAGAGCTGTGCTGTTTCACTGTGGATAGCTGTGAGATGCACCCAGCACTAGAGATGAACACAGTGCTTTAACATGAGAGAAGTCATTGGCGTGAAAATTTTCTATTTGTGGGTGCCTGGCACACACTGGGACACATGCACACTGTATAGAGTGTCAGTGATTTCACTAGAGTTCCATATGGATCCTATGCACAACTCACCAATGACAGGGCTTGGATCCAACTTGAGAAAATGGTAATGTTATACCCTTGGGGCTCAGGGAAGTGAAAGTAGGGAACATAACAAAGCACATGTCTTTTTTGCATTAGTAAAACACATCTGGAAGGATTTGATTTATTTTTTTTAATGACTTTTTTTTTTTTAGAGGAGAAGACTAGCATTTATAGGTTTCAAAAAACAGTTTTAAGAAGGGAGTTATATGAGGAGATACTGGAGGCACTGCAGACAGGAGTCAGAGAGTTCTGAGAATATGGATCCACACATAATTTCCTGTAATACTTGAGTTATCAGCAGAGCCAAAATCAGCCTTCGTAGGTAAGGGGTTAGATTCAGCTCTGAGATCACTCCAGTCACACCAAGAATGGTTTTAGCCTTACGATTTTTGTTCTAACATCAGACGTGCATTCTGATAGCAGTGAAGATTAGCAGAAAGATCAACGTGAAAGCTCTTTTTTAACTTACTTTTGCATACTATAAGCTTATGTATCCTATTGCTAATGTAATTAGCAACTACCCTTCTCAGAGAAACCTCTTGCCTCAATGAGATTTTTTACATTTCCAGTAGTGAAGGTTTGTCACGCTGTTGGCGAAGGCGTTGTGGTCCTGCCGGCTCTGAGCTGCAGGTGGCAGAGCTAGCCCAGCTAATAGTTTTCCCCTGCTTCCATGCTAGGAGCACAAAAGAACTGCAGCCTTTCAGTCTTTCAATGCCTTTTGCATTTTAAAAAGAATTCAGTGGGACTCGAGTCTTGCAATACTGAGGTGGTGAGACTGACATAACCAACAGCCAGTTTCTTTAAAGCAGGAAACATATCTGGTCAGTAAGTGCTGGGCAGCCAATGAGTCCCAAAGTCTAAACTGCACCTTCCCATGGTTATCAGATTTGTCTGTATAAGCAAAAGTTTCACTAACCACGATTTTAAAAATGGAATTATCTAAAATTTTCACGCAGATGACACTTAAAAATGTTAATGTATAATGTAACATCAGTTCTTCTGAATGAAACCAGCAAGGAACCTGACAGCAATGAGAGTGTTCCCTGAAGTTTTACTGAAATTTAAACACTTTGATGCTTGAAGCTTCTCCTGGT